TAAACTTGGAAGTGGATCCTTCCACAGTGGAGACTCCAGATGAGCTCCCAGCTCTGGCTGACAATTTGCAGCTTTGTGAGAGACTGCCGCAGAGGACCCAGCTAAGCCATACCCAGATTCCTGAACCCCAGGAACTATGAGATAATAAATGTGCATTGCTTTCAACTACTAAATTCTGGCTAATTTATTACACAGTAATAGATAACTAAAACAGAATTTAAAATTAAATTATTGTTTTCATTTGCACATTTTCCCTAGGTTTTATTTTTGTATCAGTTTAATTAAAAATAAATGTACTCTATTGATTTAAAGTTATGGAAATTACAGGTTACATTTAAGTTATCCAAACCAATAGCTGAAATGATCAATTATGATAGTGTTTATAATGAAAAGCTTCAACGTGCTGCACTCATACAGTAATCCTATTACATCAACAATAAAAATCACTCTTCTTTTAGCTACAGACTGATTCTCAAAATATGATTACAGTATAGAAAGATGATCAGTCAGAAAAAAAGGCCTGGTAGCCCAGCTACACCACAATGTTTATAATTATAAAGAAATTATAGTGCATTGAACTGAAATTTTAACTTCTAGAATCAAATTAATGTGTTGCTAGTTACATTTTTCTCTTACTCAGAAATTAAGGATGCTTTCTCTTCTTTTTAAAACAGGGAGCACCAAGAGATGATATTTCCATAAAAATTGAAAAGTTGATATATCTTTTAATGCTTTTGCTATAGTTAATGTTTGATATGTATATCAATTGATCTGTAACTGACTCACTTATTTGGTTAAACCATGGAGATAATGAATGAAACTAACTGCCCTAGACAGAACAGAACTCAAGACTTTTGTTTCTTTAGCACTATGCTCCCATCAGTCAAATGAACACTGTTTTGTAAAAGTCATTATGAATATTAACAGAAGCTTTGTCATTCACTAGTGAGAAAGTTTAAATTTGTATATTTGAATATATATATGTATATATATATATATAATTTATAATTTCGAAACTATTTAGAGACACTGCCTGTTTAATGCCCATCAGTGGGGTTTTGCTGTTAATTCTGGGTAAGGAAAAATACTCATACAAATTGTTTTATAAACTGAAACTTATACTGTTCTGGATGTATTTTCATATATTAATTAATTTAACACTCACAATACCCCTATTCAGTAGGTATTATTATTCCCATTTTATAGATGAGGAAACTGAGTCACAGAAAGGGTAAACAACTTGCTTAATATCACACAGCTAGCAATTACCAGTGCTAGGATTCAAATCCTTTTTAACCCCTATACTAGACAAGAGTTACAAGAGCTTTGATTATCTTAATTGCTCTAAAATGCAGATGTCTAAGTGGAAAAACTATGATTAGCAGTGTTGTGGGTTGAATTGTGTCCCCCTAAAATTCACATGTTGAAGTTCTAAACTCCAGTACCTCTTAATGTGACCTTATTTGGAAATAGGTTCATCGCTGATGTAATTAGTTAAGATGAGGTCATTAGGGTAGACCCTAATCCAATATGACTGTTGTTCTTATAAAAAGGGGAAATTTGGACAGAGACAGACGCACACATAGAGGGAAAACTATGTGAAGAGACATAGGGACAAGACATCCATATATAATATAAGCCCAGGAGAAAGGTCTAAATCAGATCCTTCCCTCAAAGCCCTCAGAAAGAACCAACCCTGCTAACACTGTGATTTTGGACTTCTAGCCTCCAGAACCATGCAACTAAATTTTTGTTGTTTAAGCCATCCCGCTTGTGGTGGTTTGTTATGGCAGCCCTAGCAAACCAGTACTAGAAGTATCACTTTCTTCCAGAGGCATTCAAAATATGGAAATTCCTCTAAGACCCTCTCTGGCTTTCAAATGCTGTACCTAAGCTGTTTTCTAGTGAATTTTAAGTTTTATTTAAATTAGTAGCTTTGTGTATTACTTTATGGAAGCAAATGAAACAGTGGTTCAAGTAAGCAAATGATTACATAGTCAGCAGGTCAACTTGGTCAAATACCATAGATGTTCCTGCTTCTTTACAAACAGATAGATACAAAGCTGGGTATTAGTACTTCCAGTGAAAAATGTAACCCTAGGAAACCCCAAATGTAGTCATAGTCTGCAAAATGATTTACCTGTTTTCCTCTTTTGTTAATTCATTACCTGAAAAATTTTACAAAGCCATGCCAATTACATCAGAAGTTTACTTTCTCAATCTCAATGACCTCAACTCCATTCCACCTAAACTACCCATTCCTAATATTTACCTCTTCCTTTATTAGAAAAGCCAATTCACCAAGGACACTAACCCTCAACTTTACACCTTTACTACCCAAAAACTATCTAGGCCAAGTACATCCTTACCTTCTTCTCTCTAGTCTCAAAAAAAAAAGAGAGAGAGAGAGAGACACCTTCTGTTCTTTTCTCATAACCTCTCATCTCCTTGGAGAGCTGGTCCCATCTTTGTCCTTCATTGTCCACCTCTCCCTCATTAATGAATCATCCCCTTTTGCTTAAAAGTTCAAATATTTTCCATCCTAAAAAAGAACTCCCTTTATACCACATTTTCTTCAATCTATAATTGAACTTCACCTTCTCTATTCAACCAAATTTTTAAAAAAGTAGTCATATTGATTGTGTCTAATTTCATATCTCCCATTAACTCAATAAATGCATTGAATTCTGGTTCCTATTCCTCTACTCAAGTGAAACTTTTCTAAGGTCAAAAATGTCTTATTACTTAGGGGAGATATTCATTCCAGTATTTTCCTGGACCTTTGCTGAATTTGATGCTATCAATCACTACCTCCTTTTTGAAATTCTCTAGTCTGTCGTCCAGTGTAAAGAGAAGTAAGTATTCTCATATTCTGCTGGTGGAAATGACATTAAATACTTAAAACAACCCAAATGCCTATTAATAGTGGCTTAGTTAAATAAATACGCTACGTTTATTTTATACAAAGGTAAGCAACCATTAGAAACTGTGTTCTTGAATAATATTTAAGGATATGCATATGATTGCAATATGTTAATTAAAATATGACCAAACATAAATTTCCAGTCATACAAGATTAAAAATTTCTAGAGACCTGTTGTACACTGTGCTCATAGTTAACTATACTGCACTGTATGTTTAAATTTTGTTAGGAAGGTAAGATCTCATGGGGCATGTGTTTTGTACTACAATGAAAAAAATAAGACTACAAAATGTTATGTACAATTCCATGTAAAGGATGTTTAAAAAATCCTATATCTGCGCGTGTACATATATGGAATTAAATATATAAAAATATAAACAGTAGAACTTCTGGTGGTGAGATTATGGTTGAATCCTTTTTTTTTTTCTATTTTTATGTTTTCTAGTTTTTCTCAAGCGAAATTAAGCTACACTTATAATCAAAGATGTACTCAGAAAATTGATTTCATATAAGAATGTGTTTCAAATCTCCTTGATTCTATCTTATACTTCTGAAATCAGAGAGATCTGGCTCCATCAGAAGACAAAGCTTCAACCCCTGTGCAGGATCTGATGTCTCCTTCATTTGAGGCATGGGTTTATTTTTTTTCTTTAACTGTTTTCACCATTCTAGTACTGTGGTCTTTACCAGGCACAATTCTGTCACCCATAAGGGACCCTGAGGCATAATGAGCCCTTTGTTTTTGTCCCTCTGCCATGGAGGCTACTGCCTCTTATTGCCTACCAGAGCTCTTTTCACATCCCACAGCTGCTGACATACTAGCTGCAGATGTCCCACAGGACAGTGCTATTATTCAAGCTGCTTCCTTTGATTATGCTTTTGCTAATGGAGGTGGAAGGATAATGAGATATTATATATTAAGGGCGGAAATGGAAGTGGGAGTTTGAAAGCAATGCTGCTGTTGCCCACTCCAGCAGGGAGTTTGAAGAAGTGAAGGAATAGGTGAGGAGTACTTTTCCAACACAGAATTTTGTTTTTCTTGTTCCAAAGCCCTCAAAAGCTCTAATAGGCCTCTTTCCACCTCTCCTGCATGCCCTTGCTCAGAGAAATACTTATATTCCTCATTCATCACCTCCACCTTCACTAGTGCCTACCATCACAACTGGCAGCAGGCCTGATGCCTTCCCCTCTTACTCCACCATTTTTACTCTTTCTTCTCTATTATACCAGCACTAAATTTCAGCCCAATAGGAAAAAATAACCACACATACCCATATTTCCAAATGCACAGGTCATTATGATATACAAAATATCATAGTATCTTTCCACCACTCCCCCCAATATAGTTGTTTGTTCCAGAATCTCCCTTATTTTCTTATACTATATTTTAGTCATTATCTTTGAGACTAACAGGTAACCAAAGCCCTTAACTTTTTGTTAGTCACATCTCCAAGAAAACAGAAATTTCTGGTATGACAATATTATTTTTGTTGTTCACCTTTTCATCTCATCATACTAATTCCAAGGTTTCCAGACATTTGTCCCCTCCTTGTCTTAGGGGAGGTTTATTTGCCAGCCTGTGTTTGTTTTTTTTTACATAATCCTGAACATCTTGACAAAATTATCCTACGGAATGGTGTCTAAAAGGACAGAAAGAAGGGAGATTTCTTCTCATGATACCTAAGCACCCTTACTCTCTTCCAGGGCCCCAGGGAGAAGGCAGGGCCCCAGAAGAGAATGGCTACATAGTGCATGTAGGAAGTCTGGACCCTTGGCATCAAGGCTTGCAGCACTGGCAGACACTCTCATCCTCCACGGGCTCTGGTGTAGCAGAAACGTGCACCTTCAAGGTACTATGCAGACTTGGACAGTGAGAGTAGCAGAGACAATCACAATAAATTAAAGGTCCCATGTATGACCCCCACCCATCCCTGCATAACTCACAGAAAAAAGAGGGGTGCTCCAACAGTGATACTGAATGTTGCTTTATCTCAGTGGGATGGAGGGAAGATGCAGATTTAAGTTGCCACCTCTGAGCAAACCTGTCCCAAGATACACACTACATGAAGACATAGCAGGCAAGTGCACACTCTTTATTATGAGTTAGGATCAGAAAACCCCTCACAAAGGTTGATCTTGGTGAGCTGGGTGGGAACTTATGGGGGAATTGAGGATAAGTTTAACTCAAACTAGAGGCAGATCTAACATCCCACCCTTGGGCTCTATCCTGGTTCCTTCCTTGCCTTGCAGAAGCTGCCCTGGGGGAGCAAAGCCTGAAGAGAATACAAAAAGAGGCAGAGAAGGGTTCTGGGGCATCCTCAAGAGTGCTTAGTCTAGTTCAGTTCTATTTTTAACCTAATTAGTCCACCCAAAAAAAGAACTATCTATAGCTGGGTGGGCCAATGTCTGTCCTTAGAATCCATTTTCTTCTTAGTCCACTAGCTCCTCACAAATCCCTGGGGGCCCATTCCCTGGAGCATCATTGACTAGAGACCTTGGCTAAAGGCAAACCAAGGCTCAGGATTAGAAAGTGTCACCAACACTTCCCTAAACACTGTATTTATTCAAAGCACCCCAGAAGTCTTTCAGGCAGGCTAGTGGGCAAGCAGGAAAATAGCTGTCCCTATCAAGGGAGGAAATCAGCAGAGCATTGGAAAAGCCCTGCCTGCACTTTTGTGAGACTGCTTTACAGAATTTGCCACTGCTAGTTTTTCTCACCTGAGACCAATGACATGAGTATTTTGACTACACAAGACCTTTCATAAAAGTGTCATTCAAACTTTTGCCCCAAAGCTGCAAAAATGGATCTGGATGTTACTTAATTGGTTTTACCCAAGGGCACACTATATGCAAGACAAAGAAGACACCCCTGATCTAATCTGTATCCAAAATTATGCTCTCTCCTGTCTTCTAACCAAACTCAGCAAAAAGGATTATGTGTGCACTAGATAACATATAACTCTAGCTTCTAATGCATACTACACAGTATGTGTTTAATGAACTAAATGAAATTCATCAAATTTTCTATCATGTATGGAATTTAACGCTACAATCCCCCAAACTCTTCCACGTTAATTCCTTGTCCCAGTAAAAATATTTAATTTAACAAAGCCATTTTACTCTCCTCTTTCCCCCTAATGAGTGCCAAGGCATCTCTTCTTCTCTGACTTCCACTCCCTCCTATTGGTTTCAGCCAGTGGAGGTCTCACTGAGGTGTGGGTCCTTCAGAATCAAGGTGTTATTTCTTTTTGGTCTTGAGAGATCTTCTAATGGGACAGGTTCAGCTTCTTCAGCAACAAGTGAGTTCGGTGGGGCTAAGACACAAGAACAGGACTTCACCTATGAAACTAACAAAACAAAAAGAAGCAAACATGAACAATGCAGTAGTTTCCAAAGGAACAACAGCATTTTCAAGGAAAAGTGGTGTTCCTAAAATTCAATATAGCTTATCACTCTAAAATTACATGGCTGTTCCCAGCCAAAAGCATGGCATTTTCAGGAAAAGGAGTGAAACAGAAAGGAGTAGGGGAAAAAACGCTTTCATGACTTCAGCTTCTTCAGGATGTCAACCAATCAGCATTAGGCATCCAGAATCCACCACCCACAAAATTTAAATGCAATTAGGAGAAATCTCCTATATAAAGAGTGACATACTCGAAAGTTGTCCTTTGTTCAAGTAAATGAATAAAATAAGAATATAAATACATAAGCATTTGTGTGTATGTATACCCACAAGGATAAAAAGTGGTCAATAAGGATAATACAATAATGGATTATTTTATTTAATTTTCTCTGTGGTAATTTTGGTTTCAAATTTTTGTGAAGCTAATAAATTACTTTTTGATGAGAAGGAGGTCTTAGGAAATTGGTTTCTCTTGGGGGCATTTCCATTCTTTCTTACCTTCATGAAATCAGTGACTTTGTCCCGGGTTAACGTCTCCACTCTCAACTGGCATAAAGGCTTTCTTGCATTTATAGCAGGCTGTGCGCCATGAATAATTCATGGCTTTACACCATGGGCAGACCCAATTCACTGGGCGTGAGGCAGGCTTTTCTAGGCTCTGGGATTCTGAGGCTTTTTTCCCTTTTGGTTGCTTGGCCTTCTGCCCCTGAGGCTGCTGTTTCTTTGGGCTTTTTTTCACACCATGGCTCTTGCTATCCCCCAGGGGGGTTTCCTGGAGCTTATCTGGACCTTTCCTCTGGCTGTGGCTCCTCCTAAATTCCAGGGGGCCAATCCCCTGGAGCATCACTTGATCTTCCTTCTGGCTGTGGCTGCTGTTGTTACCTCGTGGGATCTTCTCTTTGATCATCACTGAACTTTCCTTCTTGCTCTGGCTGCTGCCGTTGCCCAGGGTTGCAATTCCCTGGAGTATCACTGGATCTTCCTTCTGGCAGTGGCTGATACCCTTGTCCAGGGGGGTCATCACCTGCAGCATCACTGGATCTTCCTTCTGCCTGTAGCTGATGCCCTTGTCCAGGGGAGCCATCGCCTGGAGCATCACTGGATCTTCTTTCTTGCTGTAGCTGATGCCCTTGTCCAGGGGGTTCATCACCTGCAGAGTCACTGGATCTTCCTTCTGGCTATAGCTGATGCCTTTGTCCAGGGGGGTCAGCACCTGGAGCATCACTGGATCTTCCTTCTTGCTGTAGATGATGCCCTTGTCCAGGGGGCTCATCACCTGGAACATCACTGGATCTTCTTTCTTGCTGTAGATGATGCCCTTGTCCAAGGGGACCATCGCCTGGAGCATCACTGGATCTTCCTTCTTGCTGTAGATGATGCCCTTATCCAGGGGGACCATCGCCTGGAGCATCACTGGATCTTCTTTCTGACTGTAGATGATGCCCTTGTGCAGGGGGGCCATCGCCTGGACCATCACTGGATCTTCTTTCTGACTGTAGCTGATGCCCTTGTCCAGGGGGGTCATCACTTGGACCATCACTGGATCTTCCTTTTTGCTGTAGATGATGCCCTTGTCCAAGGGGGCCATTGCCTGGAGCACCACTGGATCTTCCTTTTTGCTGTAGATGATGCCCTTGTCCAGGGGGGTCATCACCTGGACCATCACTGGATCTTCCTTCTGACTATAGCTGATGCCTTTGTCCAGGGGGGCCATTGCCTGGAGCATCACTGAATCTTCCTTTTTGCTGTAGATGATGCCCTTGTCCAGGGGGGTCATCACCTGGACCATCACTGGATCTTCCTTCTTGCTGTAGATGATGCCCTTGTCCAGGGGTGCCATTGCCTGGAGCATTACTGGATCTTCCTTCTGGCTGTAGATGATGCCCTTGTCCACGGGTGTCATCACCTGGACCATCACTGGATCTTCCTTCTGGCTGTAGCTGATGCTGTGCCCCAGGGGAGTCACACCTTGGGGACACTCAGGACCTTCCCCTAGGCTTTGGCTTCTGACATCCTCCAGCCGATATCCCCCTTGGAGGCTCTCAGGATATTCATTCTGGCCATGGCACCTCTGGTCCCACAGAGGGGCCATCTCCTCCTGGGACATGGTTGCAGCCCATAGGCCTGGTGGACAGATCCCTGCAGGAGGCATCTGGGGTGCAACTGCTGCTGTTGCTGCTGCTGCTCCGGCTGCTGCTTCTGAGTCCATTACTACTGGGAGTGGTAGAGGTGTTGAGTATGGTAATCCCATTGGGAAAGGTGCATGTAATGGTAATGGATGTGACATTGGCACTGGCAGTGAGGGCTGCATGGCCTGGGCCCAGGGATTCGGGGACCCTGGCACGTAAAACATAGCTGCTGGGGCTGATATCTGGGTCTCCGAATGTGGCATTCCCTGCGTCCCTGTAGCCACCATCTCTCTCTGCTCCCCTGCACCTGGGAGCCACATGGCAGCCCCGTGCTCTTTGGCTCCTGGACCAGCTACAACCTCCTGAGGCTGCTGATCGTCCTTGGTGGATTTCTCGACCTGCAGCAGCCTACTTCGCAGCACTTCAACATCGCCCACTGCCTGCTGTAGAGCGGCCCGTGTGAAGTACAGCTGCGTGGCCGCATCCTCACGCTCGTCGCGCAACCGCTGTAGCTCAGACGCCATAGCCCAGGAAGCCAACTCGCGCTCCTCCACCTGCTCCTGCAACCAACGGACCCGGAGCGTCTGCTGCTCCTGCTGCCTCACACCCGCTCGCACACCCAAAGCCAGCGCGCTCCAGGCACAGGCCCGTTTAAGGGCAAACGGCACCTGCGGGTCAGCCACCACGACCCGAAGCCGATCCTCTACCTCATTCCAGGGTCGCGAGCGGAAGGCCACGTAGAAGTCTGGGCTGCCACCGTTCATGAGGACTTCATTGTTGATGAACCCGATCACCTCACTGTGGCGGAACCCGCTGGCATAGTCCCCAAACTCCACAGCCATGGCCGCTGTGGCCTAGTCAAGTAACCGCCTCCCGGAGCCTTGCCGCCGCTTACGCCGCCACCAGACACAGGTGCGGGCTGTGGCCACCGACTGGTCTGCCCTTTGCCTCCCGCTCAGTTCTACTTCAGTCCTTGCCCAGTCCTGGCCTCCTTCGTCCCTCACTCCCTCCTTCTCCTCACAAAAAGCTAAGCTGTTCTCCCTCACCGCACCAACCTCCTTCAGGCGACAGCGAGAGGCGTCACAAAGAGGAGCTGAGTCATGCCCGCTAGGACTGCTGGGACCAGCCTCCTCCAGCACAGCGACCCCTACTTGAGAAGGGGATCGGTGGCTGTGCGGGATTGCAGGGAGCTAAGACTACGGGGGCAGGGCAAATAGGGGGACGCAGGGAGAGTAGGTCTTTTGGAGACACGAAAAAGTGGACATTTGCACACCCACTGGATGGCATGGGAATTTCAACTGCACATACATACACACTCTAAGGCTCTGAAGAAGAGGGTGCATCAGAGGACATCAGAGAACTTGCAGGAATTTTGAAGTTAGGTGGAGGAAAATGGGGTTACAAGGTTCCCAGTTCAGGGAGGTAAATACAGTGTGAGCAGGGGAGTCTATCAAAACCCAGGAGAGATACTTAGAACTCACGAAAATCAGCAAGAAAAAATCAAATAGCCCTATTAAAAAGTGGGCAAAGGACTTGAACGGAAACTTTTCTAAAGAAGACAGAAGAATGGCCAACAAACATATGAAAAAATGCTCATAATCATCAGGGAAATGCAAATCAAAACCACAATGAGATATCACTTAACTCCAGTGAGAATGGCCTTTATCAAAAACTCTCCAAACAATAAATGCTGGCGTGGTTGCGGAGAGAGAGGAACACTCCTACACTGCTGGTGGGACTGCAAACTAGTTCAACCTCTGTGGAAAGCAATATGGAGATACCTTAAAGCGATACAAGTGAATCTACCGTTTGATCCAGCAATCTCATTGCTGGGCATCTACCCAAATGATCCAGTGACACTCTACAAAAAAGACACCTGCACTCGAATGTTTATAGCAGCACAATTCATAATTGCAAGGCTGTGGAAACAGCCCAAGTGCCCATCAATCCAAGAATGGATTAATAAAATGTGGTATATGTATACCATGGAGTACTATTCAGCTCTAAGAAACAATGGTGATATAGCACATCTTATATTTTCCTGGTTAGAGCTGGAACCCATACTACTAAGTGAAGTATCCCAAGAATGGAAAAACAAGCACCAGATATATTCTCAGCAAACTGGTGTTAACTGAGTAGCACCTAAGTGGACACATAGGTACTACAGTAATAGGGTATTGGGCAGGGGGAGGAGGGAGGGGGAGGGGGGAGGGTATATACATACATAATGAGTGAGATGTGCACCATCTGAGGGATGGTCATGCTGGAAACTCAGACTTGTGGGGGGATGGGGGAAAGAGCATTTATTGAAACCTTAAAATCTATACCCTCATAATACGCCGAAAAAAAAAAAAAAAAAAACCCAGGAGAGAAAGGGCAAGGTAGCACTGAGAAATAAGGCTGCGCTTGCACTGCTACTGTAAGAAAGAAGGTGTGGTCCTTTTAGGGGCAGTGTGGGCAGGCTTAGTGTGTACCTTGTACACGAGTGAAGTGAGAGCCTGGACGTTATAGAGGATTGGAAGGCCCAAACCATGGGTGAAGGCTGATGGGGGAGGCAATAGAAAGAGCACCACTGAAATGGCTCAGTGGATAAGGAGGAAAGGTAAACTAAACCAAGATGTTCTGGCAAGATAGGGAGCTATCAAGAAGGGGAGGTCACTACCAGGATGCATAACCTGATTTAGTGAAAAGGAGGAAAAGACACTTCAGAATACAGTGTCCTGGACTGGAGTATTCTGAAAAATGAGACAATGTGTGTGAACATGTGTGAGAGAAATGAATCCTAGTGAAGATATTGAATCTCATATCATTCTGGCTGCTTCCCGAGGCCATATGGAGGTGTTTGCCATTATGGTGTGTAGGAATAGAAGGCTGCTCTTCACTCAGCTCCTTCTCTTACACCTCTCTGTAGCCATGCTATCCTCCTGCATGGTTCCTGCCTTACTCGATTTCCCACAGGAAGAAATTTCTCTTCTCAACTTTAAAAATAAATCCTTCATCTATAATTTGGATTCCAGCCTCTCTATCGCCTCAAAGAGTTCAATCCATACATTATCTCCACTCTCTTCTCTATTTTCAGCCTTTTCCTCTTTACTGGCTCCTTTCCCATCATGGCATGACCATGTTCATGTTTCTTCCCCAACTTCCCACCCCCACTCAATAGTATAAGTTTTTGCTAACTTGACCTTTCTGTAGCCTTTGACTCTTTTAACACTCCCTTTTTGAAATTCAATGCTTCATTTTCTTCTATGACACCAGACTATTGATTTTCTTCCTGTCTCTCTGACTGCTCCTTCTTAGTTTCATTTTGCTGCTTGCTATGCTTTCACTCACCATTTAAATACTAGGATCTCCCTGTGTTGTGTCCTCAGACCCCTCAGACACCCTCCTTCATTACAAAGACTCCCTCTTTGTGATCTCATCTATTCTCTTTTCTCAACTATCATCATTAATTGCTAAAAACTCCCAAAACTTTATACCTCCCTACTCTGTCCCTCAAAGTTCAGATTTACCTAACCAACAAGCTCCTAAAATCCTTCACTTGGATCTTTCATAAGAGCCTTATTCTCCATAAGTCCTACACTCATTAATACTACTTTGGACAAATGGCTTGGCAACTTTATTAACATTTCTCAGTATACACTTTCTCAAAGAGATGTTGTAGAAATGAAATAAGAACATGTATGTAGATAGCACTGTTATCATCATAACCCTTACTACTATTAAAGAAATCTTCATGGAGAACGTAGGACTTAAAATGGGATTTGAACAATGGGTAGGATTTACATGAAGACAGTGATGGGGAAAACAAACCTCAAATTGATAAAAGATACTTCTCTATTATTTACCAAATAGCTGCTTGACCAAAATTTGAATTAGGTCACCCTGCTCTTCCATATCCAGTTGAATTGTATTGCTCAATTCATAGGACAGCTACCTCTGGTGCTTTCATTCCATTATGTTTTTAGAAGCTGGCATCTGGTCCCCCACCTACCTGCCTTTTACATTTCAGCTATTTCCATGGATGCTCTTTGCTAGAGCTACACATCTGATACCACCAAGGAGACACCATGTGTGTACTGGCATTTGTGATATTTCCAGGATCTATGTTGCTTTCTGGGTGCTGAAAGCATCATCTGCTTTTGATCAGAAACAAAACATATTCTATATCTGAACATAAAAGCAGTAGAGTTGTTGAAGAGTAGAATTAGGCCTATACTTGAAATATATAGAAATATGAAAACACATTAAGAGGATATAATTTTGAGGGTAAATGATTTTATATATAATAATATCTTCTTAAGGTAGCAGTGGAAAAATAAACAAAAAATGGAAAATGTAGATATGACCAAGAAATATTTTTAAGAAGTATCTATATACCTGTATAGATAAACAGATAATAGCTTTCCCTGAAAATAACATTTTAATACTTGGACCAGGTCAATTTGCAAAGTGTTGAATAAATATAAAGAGCAGCACTGTTTTGCTAGACATAAAAAAGCACTCAGGTGTAAGAAGAACAGTTATCAATATTACCAGCTCTAATTTCTGTATTGGCACTAATCATTGTTGCATGTTAAGTGCTGGTAGAAATTATTTCATATAAACTAACACTAAAGTTGCTCAAAGATTATTTCTATAGTCTTTTGCATATTCATGTTATAAACAATAATGATGGTGCTAATAAAATGTTTTTCTTCAGGGCTTTTTGTACAGTAATAAATAATAAATAACTTTTTAGCATTTACTATGTGCTAGGCTCTGGGGACTCTTTGTATGCATTATCTTATGCAATCTTTGCCACAACTATGTGAGTTAAATAACAGTATTACTTCCATTTTTGAAATAAGTAAATTGGGGCTTAAGGGAGCTAAATAACATTTACAAGGACCCAAACCTAGTGGGTGGGGAAATCAGAATTAGTACCTTGATTGGTCTGAGTAAAAAACCCATGATCTTAACATTAAACTCTACTCCCTACAATGACACATTTCCTCAGATCTCCAAGACTCAAACTAATAGAATCAATACACAATAGATGTGATAATATATGTGCAAAAGTTAACTGAAAAAAAAATGTCTTTCAATCCAAAAGCAAGAAAAGGAAAGCTTGCCTATAACCTATTAGGTAGCTTAAATATATCTAAAAAATGAGTTAAATGAAGATGAGTGATCAATTTGAAACACAGGAAACAGTAATCAGAGAGCACAAATTGAAACTGGCATTGCAAACTTGTCCAACATAGAGGGTGCTCTAACCAACAGATGGGAACATTCTGGTCCCCTAGCCAGATCCACCTCTGTAGTGATAGCAGAGGCATCAGGCCACAAAATTTCTGTGACAAAAATCCATGAAAATCATCCAACCACTATTTTTTGGAAAATAATCCAACAAAAATTCCAGTTTTTCTCATTACATGTTGACCTGTGTCTCTTGATGATAATTTGACTTCCAGTACAACTTACAAGTATAGAGGAAACTCCCTGATCATTGTCCTGAGTGCTACAGTCGGCTTGACAGTTATGCTTATTCAATAACAAGTAAGCCAGCCCTCAGACTTTATACACAGATTCCCTTTGAATTAAACTGCTGTAAGCTAGTCTTTGAGAAATTGGTAACATTTGAGTACTTGACCACATTGAGCATCTGACCTAAAGAACTGAGGAGCATACCCTGGAAAGTGGTACCCACACCAAGATACATCCACCTTAGGGGACAACTCTATGTCATGATTCACAAAGTCACAGGTTTACCTACTTAATCTGACTGATCAAGATAATCATAATATCAGGAAGAATCAAATATATGGTGCCATTTTATGACAGTTCTCATTGCGTGACATTTCTCATAGGTGAAAACCCTACAAAATAGGTGAAATTACAAATACAAGCATACTTTGGAGACATTGTGGGTTTGGTTCCAGACCACCACAGTAAAGTGACTATTGCAATACAGTGAGTCACACAAAAGTTTTGGTTTCCTAGTGCATATATAAGTTACATTAAACTATGTTATAGTCTATTAAGTATGTCTTACATTATATCTAAAAAAATGTACAATACCTTAATTTTAAAAGAGTTTCCTGGTTAAAAAAAAAATATGCTAACAGTCATCTGACCCTTCAGGG